AGGTCCCCGTGCCTATTCTCTTCAGCAGTCCATGCCTTTGTCCAGATTGCCCAAGAAGTAGGGCTTGCACCAGTTTCATCCCGGACTCCATCTAAGGTATTAAGCATTGTTTGATAAGTTGGAAGTGCCTCTTCTGTGATCATATCTCCCACCAAAACAACAAAATAATCATCTGGAATCTCCTTTGCTCTTTGTCTTATCTCCCTGACTTGGTCTTCAAATCCATCAGAAGCAGGATCTGGCAGAAAATCCTGAGGTTGCCAACATTTCTCAACTGGCTTCAGGAGACCAAGAATGTTTTCCTCGGCCCAATCCTCCATGGATTTGAATATCTCAATCTTTTGTGGTGGCATGGAATGAGTGACTTGGACATGAACCTCGCGAGGAGGCATAAAAGGTTTCTTGAGATTCTCAATCTCCCTGTGCAGTAATCAAAAGCAGTTGAGATACGTAATTATGTTTCAGCAGTTTGATGATAATTAGACCTTACATACTGGTAAGGATGATCCATAAACATGATTAGCACCAAAAATAGAATCTTAAACACACAACCCTAAAGAGTATCTACATAATTGCGTTCCTGCATATCCTAACGTGCCAATACTTAAAAAGTATCTTGAAGAGATTGTCAACATCTGGTAAAAGCACCTTACACTTTTTTAGCTTTATACGCAAGACATGCGGAAGAGTTTGATGATCCAACCAATTAAAGTCTGACCAAATTTAATTCATCATTCACTAAATAAAGTTTTGCATATTTTTGGCTAAAAGGACTACTGTGTGCTTTAAATGACAACCACTAAAATTTTGTATCGTGCTAACAGAAATTTTATGCCGTGACCATGTTTCATCTACACCAACGAGATATGAAAGAGTGAATATGATATATAAAATAACATGACTACCACAATAACGTTATAGGTACAAGCCAGAACTAAATCCTGTATGACAAACAAGTTGGTTATGGTTAATAGACAGTGATTTTCATGGAGAACTCAATTAGTAAGAAAGATTCTTGTGAAATATTTTGGTGATAATAATGATTTATCCACCCAAACAGTTTTCCATATTTTTGGCTAAAAGGATTTCTGTAACCTCTAAATGAGAACCACCAACTAGACATTGATTTTCATGGAGAACTCAATTAGTATGAAACATGCTTGTGAAATATTTTGGTGATAATAATGAGTTATCCACCCAAAGAGTTTTGCATATTTTTGGCTTGGCTAAAAAGATTTCTGTAAGCTTTAAATTGGAACCACCAATATTTTGTATCGTGCTAACAGAAACTTTACACCATGACCGTGGTTCATCTACACCAACGAGATATAGAAGAGTGAATATTAGATATAAAATAACATGACTGCCATAATAACCTTATAGGCACAAGCCAGAACTAAATCCCTGTTTGACAAACAGGTTGGTTATGGCAAATACTCACTGATTTCCATGGAGACCTCAATTATATTGAACCACGCTTGTGAAATATTTTGGTGAAAATATAGATTTATCCTCCCAAAAATATCAAGTTTTAACTTCTACAAGTTACATAGTCGCTTCTATTTAATGGAGTATTACCATCTAGAGAATAAGGATGGCAAGCAAAATCTATTCTAAAAATCAACATTACCAGCTGCCTCCGGAAAAATATAATCACAAGACTCGCTATAATTTATCATCAAAGAAAGAACACAAAATCTCTACTAAGGTCTGTAAGACCATCCAGATTTGTAAGAAGATTTAGAATATCATTGCACCAGAAAGGGATATCGAGTGCTAACTGAAGTAGAAGGAATGAAAGCATACCAAATCATTGAAATTAGACCCAGTGGGGAATTTTAAAATCTTGTATTTAAGTAAAGACAATGAGAAACATTTAAAAGTTTTCCAAATAAATAATGTAAAATTTCATTAGAATTAACAAGTTTCCATCAATAAAAAGGTTTTCTAAAAAAAAATCCTTAATTTTCAGATAATGTACCTACAGCTGAGACTAATGACAAAGTCAAAGTTCCACAATGTAAAAACAGAAAATATCGGCAATAACTTCTGAACCACTTTCACCAACTTGTTGCAAGGGAAAAGAAAAAATAATAGAAAGGAGAGGAGACATTAGAAAGTTGCATTATATTTTCTGACAACATATAAAGATAGTTACCAAGGAAATCAGAGAAAAACTACAGTAGAAGCAGAGCACCCCCACCAAATCCCCACACGGGGCGGTGGGTGGGAAGTAATGAGAAGCTTTAACTCTCAGCATGACATGTCAGAAGAGTAACAGAAGAAGACAATAGATATGCATAATTGAAGAAATACACAGATACAAACAAGCCACTGATATAACAAACAGCCTGAGGAAGCAACAGGTGGACAAGCATGCATCCACCAAGTAAACTTAAAAACAATAATAGTTGAAGAAAAGAAACAAAACAAAAACGGCGTTTTAAAATTAAAACAAAAAAAAGAAAAAAAAGCTTAAGCTGGAAACTTAACAGCCATAGAAATAAAAACATAAAATTTGTCCGTGGCCTGAAAGCTGGCCGGAGAACAAAATAGAAACATCAAGAATAACATTTGCAGAGTTGTTGTCCAAATATATATATGCTTACACATTTTTTCACCAAATGGCAAACGCCACCAGTAACATCTTGAATCACACCTAATTTCATTGGTAAAAACAAAATTGGGTTTAATGGACCAACAAAATTAGCATTATAAAACGACATCCATCCCCTTCAACCCCCCTATCAATCATAAATAATAATAATAAAATATCATTGTTATTAATATCTACACCAGTTCTAGAACATGCAATTAATAACAAGTAAACTACAAAGTCCCTAACCACCATAGGCACCATCTGACGGAAGACGAACAAAAATGGACTCCACAGGAAGCCAACTATTTTATTTGGTGAAACAGAGAATCGAAGTTCTTGAAAGAGGCAACATCAACCACCAAAATGCTAAAAGAGAGAATAATAAAGCACCAGGAAGGAAACCATAAATACTCTGCAACTCTCTCTAAGAAGGTTGACAGAGAGAACAAATTTCAGAAATTCGTCTTTTCAAATTTATATTTCTCCATTTCTGAGTTAAAACCAAGGAAAGTCCACGGCACCAAAGTCTATGTATCCCAATCATCATCAAGGCCATTTGCATTCACCCTCATTTTAGATTAAATAACAACAAAAAACGAATCCAGCAATTAAGATCACCATAATAATATATATTATATATACATACATACATATATATATATATATATATTTCTCCGAATATGCGGCACAAAAATAAGAATCATTCCCTTCACTGCGAATGTATAAAAAACGATCATGACAGAAATGAATCGGAAACATATAGGATAAATAGTAAGAAATCCGGAAACTCAAAAGAGACAATAAAGCCTCATACCAGCTCATTCAAATCAAAGAAAAATATTTTTAAAAAAATCATTGCAGAGATTTCAATAATGAAAACAAACTAATTGAACAAATTAGAAGCAACAAATTTAATAAACGACAGAATCGATTGGCTTCCAAGAGCCGAATAACCAAATTAAAAAGAAAACAAAAAAAATGTATATAAAAAAAAACGTAGCCAAGCAATTGTAATGCAAAATCAGAAAGGCCAGCGAATACTGACATGGATTATCGAGCTCAAATCCAAATTAGAGAGAAACAAATAAACAAAAACAAAACAGATCCGAAATCAATCAAGAAAAGCAAAGAAAACAATCGAAAACCAAAAATCATAACAGGTAAATGACAGCAATTAAATCCGATGAGAAAATGAGAAGAAAATGTAATCGCAGACTCCAAAAAGAGAAGTCCGGAAAAATAATGGAAAGAAAACTCACTTCGAGCCGGAGCTAAGAGTAGACGCCATATAGAACTTGGGAGATCTGAAGCTGGCCATTGGTGGAAGAGCAAAAGAAGGCAATTTCTGAGATTGAGAGAAGAAGGGGTTGAGCTTCAAAGCCATTTTTCTCTCTAGTTTTTTTTTTTTTTTTTCTCTCTCTCCTTTTTCCGCTTCCTGTTTCTCTGGTTTTTTGTTCGTGTTCACTTTCCTCCACAGATGAGAAGAGAAATAGGCTGGAGAAGGCGAGGGGAAACAGACAGACAACAAAAAGAGGACAATTTGCCATTTAATAGTGTTCCACTGTTTCAAAAAAAACTAACTTCCCGAAAATACCCCCGACATTTTCGAGAATTCCCTGATTACCCACTTCATTTTCAATTTTAATTAAAATAATTTTAGCTTATTTCATAACAAAAACTTATATATTTATCGTATGATTTTTACTCACTTTATATGAATTTATTTATTTAATTATTAAAATAAATTATCCATCATTTAATTGAATTAGTAATTATTAATTACCCCATTATTTATTTTTTAAAATTTTTGTTTGCGATATTAATTATTAAAATAAAACTTGACTATTTATTTTTAAAGATATTATAGAACTTAAATTTTTAAAAACACTAAAATTATAAATTCTTAATGGTAAATAAATTATAAATTATATAAATCTTTAATTTTTTTCACAATTAAAATAATATACAGATGCGAGCCTGCCTTTTTCCAATTTTTTTTTTTTTTAAAAAAAGAAGAATTATTTTATTTTCCCAATTTTAAATAATTTCGATATTATCGATGCCTCGCAATTTTCTGTGTGCTGTTCATGTACGTGCCCGCAAACCGCGCTCCTACGTGCACGTTACTGAAGCGTTTCAGGCTTTTGGGTTTACAAGCAATAAATCTTTTATTTGAAAAAATAAATAAATAAATAAATAGCAATTCATTTTCTAAAAAACATTAAATATATTACTTTATTTTATTAAAAATATTATTAAAATAAAATAATTTATTTATTTTTATACAACGTAAATTAGTATAAAATAGTAAATTTTGGTTAACTGAATTATATTCTACATTTTATAATTATATATATTAATA